AAGGATTATTGAGAAATAGTCATAGAAATTATAGCACAGAAGGAGCCATTCAGCCCATCGAGCCTAAGAAAAAGATATTAATTCATTCCTTGTGCTTTATACTGCCAGTCAGATGCAGCCGGAGAACATTCATTTTACGTGGAATATCTGAAATGACATCCCATGTTAAATTCTGATGATATTTTGAATGGGAACTGCAGCCTGTGGCAACAACTTCTTCTTTAACATTAACAGTTGTGACAAGTCAGTAGAATAGACTTTCCCTTTAATCAATATACAGGGCTTTTTTTGATTAAATGCTCTTGGTGTTGAGAAGCCAAATTCAGTTGTGATGCAATTAAATGGCATTCACTGAGCCTCACTCAATGAAATGGCCTGGTGATGAAATAGTGCTATGTCTCTTTTAGTCTAATAGCTGGAGGCAACCCAACACTACTGAATCCAATGCTCATTGTAATGTCACATTATCATGCACCAGCAAGCATCCAACATCTAAGACCAAGCCCTTGGGTAGTAAATAGATTTAGTGTGTAACCAGTTTACAACCAATGTACATATCAGGTAATGTGACTTCCTTCAAAATCCTGTAGCACTCTAGTGTAAGCGGTCACAATGCAGCACAGCAGTGGAAATATTAAGTAGAAGAAGCTCTTAAGGCTCAGTTAGGGTAGCAAGTGCAACCTCACCAGTGTGGGTAAGCTGCAGCTGTGCTAGGAAGGTAAATAAACAGCATGAGACAGCAATCAATATTAGCTTGCTAAAAATTATCCCTTGAAGTCACAGAATTGTACATTTGTTTCTGAGCCCTTCAACCACACTATTCTCAAGTCCATTGACTAAGCATATAGATCTCCCAAATTGTTGTGAAAATGCCATATAAATTACCGTATAGCCTGCATCTGTGCACTATTCCAACAATTGTAGTTATCAATGGAGGAATTCTGCAACCTGCCACCTTGGAAAGTCAGCAATTTAAAAGAAAATTACTCTTGATATAACCACAGACAGGTCATATGCTATTGCTGATCATTGAGGAGGCAGAAATATATTTTCTTTTGAAAATGCCTACATTAACCAAAAGCATATTGTTTTGTAGCAGTTAAAGAATGTCAAAATATTGTCCTTCAATTCCCATCAAATATGCACTTAACCCGATACCAGCTAAACAGTCCCACCAAGAATACATGAAAGAGATCACTAAAGATCCACGTGGCAGTTTCCAGCAAATTGCTGAGTTTCACAAATCAATAAAACAACAGTAACATTTCTGAAGAAGCAGCTGCTCTTAAAATATTAATAATCCTTGCATTTGGGTTTCTGCATCTGTCCAACATCCAGCTGACCAAAACAAAACCGCACAAGTTGTCTACTGCATTCACCTCCAAAATATGAAGTTACGAGACTTTACAGTGAAACCTGTGTGAAACGCTTTGTGATGTCCCAATGTGAAAGGCATTATATCAAATCCAAGCATATTATTATTGTAGGATTATTATATTCTGTAATTCCATTCAGAAATCTTTTACACTTGGCTAAATTATTCCAGAATCATATCATTCATTTGTTCTAAATTTCTGCTCCTACTTTTCCATTTTACTTTGAAGTAATAGTCTGGGTTTATCGATTCAAATTCATATAATATTAAATATTTTGATTGAATCACATGATTTTATTTATTATAATAATAACGCTTGCATTTGATGTAGCGCGTTATCACATTTTTGAGGCGTCTCAAAGCGCTTCGCGGAATATACTGTAAAGTGGATCCACTTGACTGTGGTCTGGGCGGTGAATAATAATAATAATAATCCTTGCATCTGATATAGCGCTTTTCACGTCGGGAGGACGTCCCAAAGCGCTTCGCAGAACACACTGTAAAGTGAATTGACTGCACATTCGTGGGCGAACGCGGCAGCCGATTGCGCACAGCAATGTCCCACAAACAGTGGTGGATTGAAAATGACCCATTTAATTATTGTTTTGGGGTCTTGGAGGGATTGTTATTATTTTGGAGGACGTTGTGGATGATTTTAAAAAAAATAAATATATTTCAGCAACGAAAAAGGGTCAGGAGGCAGTAACCGTGCAGCACTTATGTTAAATTAAGGTTCGGTGTGGGTATGAAATTGCAGGAGAGTGATTTTTCCGGGAATTATCCCGTGACAGTGGACAGTGGACAGTGACTGCACAGCTCGGGCTGAGCGGCCGCTGCAATCCCGGACAGCAGTTTCCGGGCGGACGGTATTGAGCGTCGGACAAAGATGGCGCCCTCCAGCTCCGCCCGCGGGAGACTTACCACAGAGCGCAAGAAATTGGCGAAAAAGCAGACGAAATGTCGGCGCGTCCTCCTCAACCGCCACGGCATCGAAACCGTATGCGGCCCCACGCGGGTGAGTGTCTGTCTCCCTTCCCCCCCGTCACCCGGGTCAGGGCCGCGACCGTCGTCTCCCATCCGTGAGGCCGAAACCGCTCACACGGCGATTTAGCTCCAGATCTGCCCGGAGGGGGGGGGGGGTCTGTCTGCAGGTGGGCTGGAGCCTGGGGAGGGGCTGCTGGGGGAGGGGGCTGCTGGGGGGAGGGGGCTGCTGGGGGGAGGGGGCTGCTGGGGGGAGGGGGCTGCTGGGGGGGGGTGCTGGGGGGAGGGGGCTGCTGGGGGAGGGGGCTGCTGGGGGAGGGGGCTGCTGGGGGGAGGGGGCTGCTGGGGGAGGAGGGGCTGCTGGGGGGGAGGGGCTGCTGGAGGGGTGCTGGGGGGGGGGCTGCTGGGGGGGGGGGCTGCTGGAGCTGCTGGGGGTAGGGGCTGCTGGGGGGAGGGGCTGCTGGGGGGGAGGGGGCTGCTGGGGGGGAGGGGGCTGCTGGAGCTGCTGGGGGGAGGGGGCTGCTGGGGGGAGGGGCTGCTGGGGGGAGGGGCTGCTGGGGGAAGGGGCTGCTGGGGGAGGGGGCTGCTGGGGGGAGGGGCTGCTGGGGAGGGGCTGCTGGGGGGAGGGGGCTGCTGGGGGGAGGGGCTGCTGGGGGGGAGGGGGCTGCTGGGGGGGGGTGGGCTGCTGGGGGGAGTGGGCTGCTGGGGGGAGGGGGCTGCTGGGGGGAGGGGCTGCTGGGGGGAGGGGCTGCTGGAGCTGCTGGGGGGAGGGGGCTGCTGGGGGGAGGGGGCTGCTGGGGGGGAGGGGGCTGCTGGGGGGGAGGGGGCTGCTGGGGGGGAGGGGGCTGCTGGGGGGGAGGGGGCTGCTGGGGGAGGGGGCTGCTGGGGGGAGGGGGCTGCTGGGGGAGGGGGCTGCTGGGGGGGAGGGGGCTGCTGGGGGAAGGGGCTGCTGGGGTGCTGGGGGGGAGGGGGCTGCTGGGGCGAGGGGCTGCTGGGGGAAGGGGCTGCTGGGGGGGAGGGGGCTGCTGGGGCGAGGGGGTGCTGGGGGGAGGGGGCTGCTGGGGGGGAGGGATGCTGGGGGGAAGGGGGGCCGCTGGGTGCTGGGGGGGGGGGGGCTGCTGGGGGGGAGGGTGCTGCTGGGGGGAAGGGGCTGCTGGGGGAGGGGCTGCTGGGGCTGCTGGGGGGGAGGGGGCTGCTGGGGGGAGGGATGCTGGGGGGAAGGGGGGCCGCTGGGGTGCTGGGGGGGAGGGGCTGCTGTGGGGGAGGAGGGGCTGCTGGGGGGGGGGATGCTGGGGGGGAAGGGGCTACTGGGGGGGAGGGGGTTGCTGGAGAGAGGGGAAATGCTGGCGGGGGTGGGTGCTAAGGAGTGGGTATTGCTGGGGAGGGGGGTGTTAGTGGGCTGGGGAGCGGGGTTGGGGTGTGCTCGGAAATGGGGGGTGTCTGGGGAGCCGCGCGGAGGGGGTGAGTTGGGGGGTTGGAGAACCTGTGGAAGAAGTCTTTGATTTCAGAGTTCCAATTGTGGTATACTGGAGCTTTAAGCTCCTGATCTGGGCTGACAGTCCAGGACCGCGCAGTCCTGTGCTGTTCAAACTGTGGTCCTTTGGATGAGATGTTAAACTCGAGGCTTTTAAACATTTGCTTTTCACTTGATCCCGAGGCACTGCTCACAAAGAAAAGGTTGTCTTCCTCCTGGTGTTATGGTCATTCATCACCTGTCTGTTTGATGGAATTGCTAACCTATAATTGGAGAAAGAAGGGGAGATAAGGATGGGTAGAGGCTCATGTGGAGTATTAACACTGGGACGAGTGGCTTGTTTCCGTGTTGTGTGTACATCGTTATTACACAACACTTTCGGCTACAAATCACTGTGAGATTGGATATTGAAATAATGTTAAAGGTGCAATTTAAATGGAGATTTTTAAGCAGCGTGAATTGTGTTGTAGCCGCACTTCTGAGGGTGCCTGGAGAAGGTGGTACAAGTCATGAGTGATGTGAGTTGAATTAGCTGCAGTGTAAATGTAGCTGTGCAAAATGCACAGAACTCACTCCCCTGAGTCCCATTTGGCGGTGCATTAAACCATCCACTGAAGCGTCTTTAAAGAGCCGGTTGTCCTGCAGACTCTTCAATAATATTTTTTTTAAACTCTCAGTATTGGCATTGCACACAGATCCAAGATGCACAGAACTCCAATATTGGGTGATAGTTTATGGGTGTTACTTTACAGCTACAAATATCAATAAGATATGGAACAGAAAGTATTAAAACAGTCTTGATCACTCCACATACATTACTGACTTTGTTCCCAGCAGTAAGTGGTATGCAAATGTGCAACTCTTATCAGGTTTGGATACGCTTAAGCATGGTGATGGATTTCCATGTGTGCCAGACACTTCGCTGACAGCTTCATTGTATCTGCTTTAACTCATTGGTTTTATTAAAAGCTGCCCATTCATTTAGGATCCTTGCTTTTAATTGATGGCTATTAAAATGGTCTCCTGTGTGATGTCCCTGTTGTTGTTGTTTCGTCTAGCATGTGATTGTCACCAATGGTGGTCTGGGTAATGGTGTCAGCCGAGAGCAGCTGCTTGAAGTGTTGCAGGTCTTTGGAACTGTTGAGGCCCTTCTGATGCCTCCTAGCAAACCGTATGCATTTGTGACTTATGGCACAGTGCAGGAAGCCCGGGAAGCATATAACTCCCTCAACGGGCGAGAGCTTGGGACTGATTGCAACACTCTACCAGTCACTCTATATTCAAACTTTGTAGAGAAAGGTAAGCATATTTAATTTTAGATCACCATTCACAAGTCCTAGATTGTAAAAAGACAATATGATACACTCAGTGTGTGCCCATTCTATTCAATTGTGTGCAATGGTAGGGGGTGGGGTAATGAGAAAGGTTTGATGGTGATGGTACAGAATTCCATTGTAACATCATCACTTAAAACTTGATTACAATACAATTTTTAAATAACGTTTTTGCCTGAACTCCCCTGAAGGAATTTGAAACTTTTTACCTTCTACTGTGGGACGGTTCCACCAATCTTATCCAAGCGTACATGTGATTCTTGACCATTAGTGTTGATTGCTTACTTCAATTCGATTGTGCTATTATTAATATAATTATTGTTTGAATATTCCATGATATTGTGTTGTTTTTATTTTCTTTAAAGAATGCACAATTTGACCTACACTTAATGAACCTTGAGGGACTGCACGCAAGGTTTAATATAAAAGTTATGTGGTTTCAAAATAATACTGGATTTTTGCTCCTGGATCAGGGACTCGAATGTACATAGAATGTCATTACAAGAGGGAGGGAACTGGCAACTTGGGTAGGGATACCATGAATTTGGTACTAATTTTTCAGTGGTTTAAAATCCTAAAATCAGAATGCTTATTGATAATATTATATAGGCAACAAGACTCGGTCTGAGCGACCTAAAAATACAATCTGTATGTGACTTGCTTGAATCTAAAACTGCAATTTTAGCACGTAAGTGGGCAAAGCCAGGTACTACAACAGAGAAAGGATTTACTGCTGGTGAAAGAATATAATTTTTTTAATTGAAAAGGAGGAGGAAAGAAGAAAATATAGAGAAAAACTGAACCTTATTAGTGGCGATAATTCTTGTGAATGTCTGGAGCAAAGACTTAAAATCTAGATGATTAACTTTTCTGTTATTGTAAAGAAATCACTTTCTGAGATGTCAGATAAGTTGGTAGACCTGATCTGTGGGTTAGAAGATTATAGAAACATAGAATTATACAGCACAAAAGGAGGCCATTCGGCCCATCGTGTCTGTGCCGGCTCTTTAAAAAGAGCTATCCAAATCAATTCCACTTCCCTGCTCTCTCCCCATAGCCCTGCAAACTTGTCCTCCCCAAATAATTATCTACTTCTCTCTTAAAAATTGTTATCGAATCGGTTTCCACCACCCTTTCAGGCAATGCATTCCAGATTCGAACAACTTGCTGCGTGAAAAAGATTCTCCTCACTTCCCCTCTGTTATTTTTAACAATTATTTTAAATCGGTGTCCTCGGGTTACTGACCCACCCGTCAGTGGAAATAGTTTCTCCTTGTTCATCCTCTTGAATCTCCTCATAATTTTGAAAACTTCTATTAAGTCTCCTCTTAACCTCCTCTGCTCCAAGGAGAATAATCCCAGCTTCTCTAACCTCTCCTGATAACTGAAGTCCCTCATTCCTGGTACCATCCTGGTAAATCTCCTTTGCACCCTCTCCAATGCCTTGACATCCTTCCTAAAGTGTGGTACCCAGAACTGAACACAGTACTTTAGATGAGGCCTAACCAGTGTTTTATAAAGGTTTATCATAACTTCCTGACTTTTTGTATTCTATGCCCCTATTTATAAAGCCTAGTATCCTGTATGCTTTTTTAATAGCTTTACCTACCTGTCCTGCCACCTTCAAAGATTTACTTATATGAACCCCCAGGACTCTCTGTTCCTTCACCCACTTTAAAATTCTACCATTAGCTTATATAGCCTCTCCTTATTCTTCCTCCCAAAGTGCATCATTTTGCATTTCTCCACATTAAGCTTCATTTGCCACGTATCTACCCATTTTACCAGTCTGTCTATGTCTTCTTGCAGTCTGCTACTATCTCCTCACCATTTACTACTTTTCCTATCTTAGTATCATCTGCAAACTCGGAGATTGTACTCTTTATACCCAAGTCCAGGTCATTTATATAGATCAAAAACAGTAGTGGTCCCAATACCGACCCCAGGGAACACTATTGCCCACTTCTCTCCAGTCAGAAAAACAACAATTCACCAAAACTCTCTGCTTTCTGTCTCCCAGCCAGTTCTCTATCCTAGTCCCTTTAATACCGTGGGCTTCTATTTTTCTTACAAATCTCTTATGTAGTACTTTATCAAACGCTTTTTGAAAATCCATATAAACTACGTCAACTGCACTGCACTACCTGCACTGCACTACCTTCATCCCCCAGAGGATCGAATTCAAGATCCTCATCCTCACCTACAAGGCCATTCACGGCCTTGCTCCCTCTTACCTCTCCGACCTACTATCCCCCTACCTACCTGCCCGTACCCTCCGTTCCTCTGGCTCCGGTCTGCTCCACATCCCCCGCCCCAACCGCCCTACCATCGGTGGCCGGGCCTTCAGCCTCTCAGCCCCGAGGCTCTGGAACTCTATCCCCCAGTGCCTTCGTCTTGCTTCCTCCCTTTCCTCCTTCAAGGCCGGTCTCAAGACCTTTCTCTTTGACTGTGCCTTCAGCTCCCCTCTCGACTCTCTACCCCTCCTCGCTCCCTCCCTTCCCTCCCCTCACCCTGACCATTTCCCCCTTGCTCGGATCCTGACCCAACTGTACAGCGCCTTGGGACGTCTTCCCGACGTGAAAGGCGCTCAATAAATGGAATCTTGTTGTTGTTTTCATCTGGAACTCTGGAACTCCCTTCCTCACTCCCTTCGCCTTGCTCCCTCTCTTCCTATTTTCAGTTCTCTGCTGAAGAGCTTTCTTTTCAATCGTACCTTTGGTCACTTTCCTCCCCCTCCCCCTGACTCGGCCCCGGGATCCGTTACTGTGAAGCGCTCTGAGACGCTTGTTGTTTTTGTTCGTCCACCCTTTCCGTTACTTCATCAAAAAAGCTAATGTCACAGTATCGGAGGAGAGGGTAGAGAAATTAGATAAGATCAATCCATGACTGTTTGTGGGACACTGCTGTGCGCAATTGGCTGCCGCATTTTGCCCACAAATATACAGTCAATTCATTTTACAGTCTATTCTGTGAAGCGCTTTGAGATGTCTAGAAGACATGAAAAGCGCTATATCAAATGCAAGGATTATTATTATTAACTGAGTAGTACTTACTACTTTTGTTGGTCAGATCTATGTTCCAATCCATAAAGTCCAAAAGCGTATGTGTGCAACACAAACTCTTCAACCACAAGGAGACCTGAGGGCAGACTCCAATTATGGGTTCAAGCCTCACATTAGAACTTGAACTCATAGACTAGACTGACATTCCAGTGCAGTCCTGGGGGATGCTGCATTGTCAGAAGTGTTATCTTTTGGATAAGACTTTAAATCAAGACCAGTTCTGGTTCAATCAGAAAATGAGTGCTAACATCTTCTTATTCAACAACTTGCATTTATATACTAGTTTATATATCCAAACAGTAGTCTTGATTTAATTATTTTAAAGGTTTCACTTTAAAGCTGAAAGTACTGGTCACAGCTTAGTTAAGTTTTCAGTTCCCATTTATTCCTAAAATGAATGCTTTTGTAGCTTTAAAAGTATTTTGAGCTGAAATGTAACTTTCTTTTTTCAGTTCTTGGTGAAGACATTGCTTCTCCGAGTCTGCCCTCAGGTCTCCTTGTGGTTGAAGAGTTTGTGTCGCCCACATACGAGCAGAAGCTTTTGGAGTTTGTGGATTGGAGCACAGATCTGACCAACAAAAGTAGTAAGTACCACATGAATAAAGATCATAGACTGTGGGTGGCTAAGGACTAAAGGGAGCGCAGCAACCCCCCCCCCATCTATCTACAACTCACCTCTTTAAGGGAGTTGGGTGGGGAAAGCCCTGAGCCTTGAGGAAGACCATAGCCAATCCTCCAAACAGCCCCAATCAAAGTCACCTGTAGGCGAGCTGCTTGTCAGGGCTTCCTCATCTTCGATTGATTGATGGATGTATCAATAGAGACAATGGCTCATCTCTCTTAAAGGGACCGACCTTTTAACTGAGTTTTACTCAGCCCCCACAGGAATATTTTCTTCCGCTGCCTATGCTACTAAGACTACCTGCACTGTTTGGAATAATAATAACAATGACACTTGCAGAGAAACAAGACAAGAAGGTTAAATAGTTGCACCCATTTCAAATTGTCATATAGACTATTATAATCTGTGTATGCTGTAAGTTTGGATCTGTGGTACACATTTTACTCCTTTCAATCATTGTTAAGGCGCTATACAAATATAATTTGTTGTTGTTGTATTACACTCTGAATGGAATGTTAATATTGAAACCAATGTCAACATTTGAAATGGTTTCTGATATTGTGTTTTCCCCTTTTCTCTGTAGCTCAGAAATCCCTGAAACATCGTAGGGTGAAACATTACGGGTATGAATTTCGTTATGACAACAATAATGTGGACAAGGACAAACCACTGCCAGGAGGTACAGATTGAATCTGTTTGTGTATGTATTAGATGTGGGTTTTAATGCAGCATCTGTTCTGTAGGGTACAAGCAGCTACTGTATTTGATTATTTGTATTGGTTGCTGAGCTTCAGTTTTCTTATTCTGTTGTATCTGTTTAAAATTTGAGAATTTTTAAAAACTATCATTGCTTCACATCACAGAAAAAATTCTGTGTTGAACTCTGTTCTGTTTCACATTATGAAATGTTTAATACTAATGTTTCAGAACTGAAAATCTAAATTTCATGGAACAGAATTTAACCTGAATTCAGATTTCAGCAAATAATAATAATCCTTGCATTTGATACAGTGCCTTATCACATTGTTGAGGCATTGCAAGGAGCTTTACAGGATAGACTGTAAACTGCAGTGACTGTATTTTTGTGGGCGAAACGTGGCAGCCAATTGTGCAAAGCATTGTCCCACATACGATCGTGGATTGAGTGACCAAATTGGTCAACTTCATGTCCCTACAATGGGTGAGCTTTCAGCCATTCTGCCTCTGTGCTCTGGAGCTCCATCCCTCTGCCTTCCTCCTTTGCTGCCTTTAAAATTCACCTAAAGGCCTATCTTTTCAAACATGCCATCGGGCTGCTTTCCTCTTTCCTCCCCACCTCCCCCACCATGGGGGGGAGTGCTCCTAGCACTTTGAGGTGTCAGTCATCCGGACATAAAAGGCACTATATAAATGTAAATTGTTTTTGTAGTTTCTTCTGCCCTTTGGTATTTAGTGAAAATGTGAAATTTTAAATCAGATGTGGTTTTATCCTGATGTCCCACAGGGTATTGAAACTTGCTAATTTACGGAAACTTTACTCAAGCTGTAAATTTTAATCTATTAACTGACTTGAGTTTTTTAAAAAAACTTTGCTATGATCGATAATTGTTCAGCTGCAGATTTGTAGCAGATTTTGTTTGCATAATCTCCCTTTCCATTGCTTAAGGCAGAATGACTCCCAAAAAAAGCTTTATTTTTATATATGCCTCCTTCAAGTCCTGCCTCAAGACCCTCTCTTCGACCTTGCCATCAGCCACCACCCTGCCCCTCCCCTCCCTTCTCGCCCCCTCCCCCACGACCCCAGCTTGGGTTTGAAATGCTGTACACTGTCTAGCTCCTTGGGACTTCCTCCCGACGTGAAAGGCCCTTTATAAATGTAATTTTGTTGTTGTTGTTATGTGGTAGGAAAATAATATATATAATATATATATGCATATGTTAAGTTTTTTTTGGGCTTCACTCAAACAATTTTGAGTCAAATCTATAACCATAAAATGTGGTGGAGTTTTAGTTCAAAGAATCAAAGTACTTAGTAACTCATTTTGCCCTTTTCTTTTTTCACACTAGGCCTTCCTGAAATTTGTACTGAAGTATTGGAGAAATCCATTGAAAAGGGATATGTAAAATTTAGACCTGATCAGCTGACAATAAATCAGTATGAACCTGGACAAGGTGAAATCGAGTTTTACAACTTAAAAAAACGTATTTTAAAATGTTTTTTGCAAGTAACATTTTCCACTCTCTACCTAGAGGCACGTAAGCCAAATGTGTCTTGCCTGAGATCGATTCTCAACCTATTTTAAACAAATACAAATTAAACACGTGGAACTGTTATTTAAAATTTATAAAAAAGTTTTACAAAATTTGCATGCATTTTGTGACCAGAAAAGTTTTTACTTTAATATACTGTATTTATTATTTGTACCCATTTATTTTTATGATTAACACATCTGTGGTTGTTCACATCTGTGTTGATTTGTTAGATATTTTGATTTGCCATAATCTTATATCTGCCTTTCACTTGACAATTGCAAAGATTTAGTTTTATTTAATTTGTAACTATTATTTAATGCCTTGCTGATGGGCTATTGCATGACCTTTATAATTGCTTTCAACAGGAATTCCTCCACACATTGACACACACTCTGCATTTGAGAATGGGATCATCTGTCTGAGCCTGGGAACAGAGGTAAGTTCAGTTTTGAGGACTTAATTTGAAAAAGCCATTTATTTGAGTTTCACAATTCAGAGTGTTGGAACAGGTTCCACCTTTCAACAGTTATTTGGCAATCAAATACTGACACACTGACACATTTTTATTAACAGCGACAGTATCTCTAATAATTGCACCTGTGAAGAGCTGTACAAATGTCTTTGTGGTCGTCCTTTGTTTGAGGTTTCACTTTCTGTAATTCTGTACTTCCATCTGAGCTCAGTACTTCTTGATTGGTAGAATGTAGTAACTGGTCGCATGAGCGGGTATGCTGCCAGTCCTGACATCTGTCCTTCAAGTGAAATGTTAAACCAAGGTTCTACCTACTAATTCTGTCTGTTTGATCGTGTGGATGTTAATGCTGTGGCACTATTTGGAAAGAGAAGGGAGTTTCTTCCAGTGTGCTGATCAACAATTCTCTGGATAAAATGGGTTATTCGCCTCATGGCTACTTGTGGGACATTGGGTTCACGAGTTGGCTGCCAGAAATAGTCAGTATACTTGACAGTGTTTGCCTGTGAAGTGCTTTGAGACATTATTGGTGAACAGAGTGGTAATAATAAGTCATCAAGTATGTTGCTTTGCTTAGTTGCACCATTGCCTCCAGTGGCAAAACCTCAAGTCCATCCCTCGATTGAGGTGACATTTCTAAATTTGATTCTCAGGTTTGTAAGTCAGTCCCTGAAATCCAATCTATATTTTGTTTTGAAATGATCAAAATTGAACAAATTCCTCAGGGAAAGTTTCTTTGTTGACAAGTAACCATACAAGTATGAGAACCTTCTCACACACATAGTTGCTATGTCTGTGTTACCATTAAATCAATTGTACATCAGGGCTAGGCTGTTTATTTTGACTCTGTGTTTAATGTGCTATATAAGTACTTGTGTCGCCTCTAGATGGTGTTCTACATTAGATTACAGTATTTCAGTATGCGTCATTCTGCAGTGTTAAAAGCTGCATTGCACTCCATAACAGATCATTTTTTTTCTGGTCGCTTTGTTTTGATCATTCCTTGTAACAGTGGGACATTGTTAAAATCTAATTTCAATACTAATTCTGTAGTGGCATTGCATGAATTCTTAAAAAAATGGACCATGGTCATTTGCTGATGACTTCTGTAGGAATATACAAGATCCTAGAATTGATGACCTTGAGTTAATTTGAACACTGCAATCCCTCATTGTGGGAAGTAACCATGCTACTCTTTTTCATAATCAATTTTATTCTAATTTATCTGTGCCTCTACACCCACTATCCTCCTTATTATAATTTAAGCATTGGCCTCTTCCTGCAATCCCTCTTGCTGTAGTTTAATTGTGCCTTATTTCCATATGCAATCCCTCTTACTGTAGTTTAACTGTGCCTTATTTCCATATGCAATCTATCCAAAATACTCTGCAGCTATTTAAAATATTGTTCAAGTGACTTTTTCTTTCTGTGCGGATTTAACTGTGTGGAGTCCTGTAGTTCAGTGGTTAGAGCACTTCCCTTGCAAGCGAGACACCTGGATTCAGTTCCAGGCAGGGCGAAACCTTGGGCAAGTTTCCATACTCTACGCGCCTAATAATAATCCCTCCAAAACAATAATAAATTGGTCATTTTCAATCCATGACTGTTTGTGGGATGTTGCTGTGCGCAATTGGCTGCCGCGTTTTGCCCACAAATATACAGTCAATTCACTTTACGGCATATTCTGTGAAGCGCTTTGAGACATCTAGATGATGTGAAAATGCAAGGATTATTATTATTCCCTAGAGCTTAGTAATGCTAAATACATGTTTGTACTCTATTGTATTTGTTGTTGAGCTTTTTATACCTTGTAAAGTATTAAATGCAATTCTATAATCAGTTTACACAATTTCTGCGACACATCCAAGGCAGCCTGCAAATTTATTCTTTATTGAATTGGCTACACAGTAAATAAGGAAAATGTGAAGAGTAAGCGGAATTTGCTCAAAGAGCACTATTTCTGAAGAGGAGTTTGATGTGTGTCAGATTGATTTGCCTGTTGTGGCATTGTTCCATTTCATTTTCAAAATTTGATGAATTCAGGTGAAAATGATGTTGTTTGCCAGAATTTTGTTTATTCAGAACTTGTCTGGTTGTAAGGCTGGTGGCCCTGGATATTGGGTAGCTGCACTCAAAACTGTTTATGTTCATCCTTTCACTTGATATAATGTCAATTACATCAAAAAGGTTCAAAGTCCTTCACAACATTTCTGACTAGCGAAGGGAAACGTGGCAATCACTTGGACTCAGCAATGTCCCAAAAAAGGAAATTTAATGACCAATTTTATCCACCCGAGTAAATCGGTCATTCACTTCATAGCCGTTTGTGGGACTTTACCGTGTGCAAATCGGATGCTGCATTTGCCTAAAAACACACAGTGAGTTGAGAAGTTTTGACAACCTGATTAAAAAGCTACCTCAAATGCAAGGATTATTAACATCATCTAGAAGATTATTGGTTTAGGATACTGGAGAAACTCGCTCCTCTTTGAGTAGTGTAATGGGACCTTTAACGTTTACCTGAAGAGGCAGACAGGACATCTGGAGGATGGTACCTCTGACAAAGTGGTGCTTGCACAACACTGCATTGACGTGGCTGCCTCCATTATGAGCTCAAAGTCCTGCTCAACGTGGGGCTTGAACTCACAAGCATTTCTCTTTATTATTCGTTCTGTTGTGTTTTAAAAACTAAAGAGATCGAGGGATATGGGGATAGGGCGGGTAAATGGAATTAGGTTAGAAGATCAGCCATGATCTTATTAAATAGCAGGGCAGGCTCGAGGAGTCGAATGGCCTATTTGCTCCTATTTCTTATGTTCTTATGTCTCTAATAGTACCATAATCACCATACTGTATTTCTCAGTCATTTTTAAAATTGTTCATTTGTTTTACTGCTTGCTATTGCAATGAAGTTATCACAGTTGAGATCATGTTGCAACATACATTTTATATTTTGCTGCCAATTAAAAAATAATGTCGTTGAAAGTTAATGCTGACAATAAATTTGGAGTGGGGGAATTAGTCTTTATTTTCTGCTGAAGTGTTGAATATAAAACAATTCCATTTTTATTCTTAGACAGTCATGGACTTTAAGGATCGATCTGGACACAGTGTTGCAGTGATGCTGCCCCGTCGAAGTCTGCTTGTCATGACCGATGAATCTAGGTATTTGTGGAGTCATGGGTAAGTAGGGAACAGATAAACTGAGAAATAAATAGTCCACCAATTCTTCTAACTCTGTAAAGTAGACTATTGAGAATTGCGGGAATCGCCTTCAGCCCTCCAAAGTTGTGTTGTACATTGCTAATCAATCCTCTTATTATAGTCCACTCTTAACACAATCGCTTCCTGGCTCTAAGCATAGGCATCTTGCTCCAGAGCTGAGCTTGTGCTGCTCATTGATGGGCTGCTGCGAAGAATATTGAGTGCTGAATTGCCCTGTTTTGTTGCTCTGAGTGCCTTGTCTTCAACGAGCTAACTGGAAATTATTTATGCTAACGCTGGGCATATGAGTACCAATATTCTGCACTGTTGTGCTGCCCTTTAAAATTGGACAACTCAGTTTTTCAGGAAGTGATTATTTTCCACACATATTTGAGAGTATTTGTATAACACCTTCTCCTGTGTAAAGCACTGTACTGCTCCCAACCTGAGATGAAAGTGTTCCCATTTGTTGAAGCTGAAAGGTAATGTGCATTTGTTTGCAGGAATATTTTTTTATTTGGTATTAAATGCCTCCACCAGACAGGCTCATCTTCAAGTGATGGAGCTGGGAGTAGATTTTGATTGGTCTTGTGAAGTTGAGGTTAAATGGTAATTTGTAAGTGGGTGTATCAGGGGCTTGAGGTTAGATATTCAATTAATTGCAGATCAGGTTAATGTTAATGTATGTGGGTAACTATATTGATTTGGATATTTGACAAGTCAATAATGTGTGTCCTGAAAGCTAGACTGCTCCAATTAAATGCAGTTGAGCCAGGCGAGTTAATAAAATGATGTGAGTGGCCACCGATGTGATTCTCCCGCCCCGCTCCCCAACTCTTTGTTTGGACTCATTGCCACATTGACCTTGGGGAGTTTTTTTATTGCACTCTGTCTTGTCTGTGACACATCCTCTGTCTGTGTTATGGTGCTTCATATTATAAGGTGCTCATTTTTAATGTGTTTGCCACATGTGCTTGCGCATCCAACAGAATTACACCTAGAAAGTTTGACGTGGTGCAGTCATCGGAGACCCTAAAACCTGGAAGCATCAGTAGGGACATCAGCGACTTGACCTTAAATAAGAGAGGAACCAGGACCAGTTTCACCTTCAGGAAAGTGAGGATGACTCCTTGTGACTGTGGTAATTTTTTTTAAAATAAAAGTTTACCTTCCTTCTGAGTGAATTCTTTACCATTTTGTATTCACTGATCAGAGTGAGGCCAGCTCGTTTGGTCTCAAATCTCTACAGTTCTGGTTTCTTATTTTGGAATGGGGAGGCGCCAGCCCAGAAATATTCGCAGTGAGCTCACACAAATATGAATGTCTTTCCAAACTAGGATTTTTAAATAAAATATGTTAGGAATGGAACACTTTTTTCCACTTTGGTTACAGACTGGCTGGATTATCTGCCTTTTGCTGTGTCACAATCTCAGAAGCGTGCTCCTGACTGAATCATTTTCCACACTAGTCATCTTTTGGCCCCTCTAAGTGAGAAATTGAAAGGAAATTTGTTTAACTTCATCATGCCTCTCATTGTGGGCTGATAATAGTCCAGCTACTTTTATATCAATTGAAATTACCTGAATTACTTACAGTACAAGTAATTTGGTCTAATTCCACAACAACAACAGATTATATTTGTATAGCGCCTTTCACGTCGGGAGGATGTCCCAAGGCGCTGGACAGTGCACAGCATTTCAGACCTGAGCTGGGGTCAGGAGTAACTAGTCTACGTTTTCAGTGAGAAATATTTAATAAGCTATTTGTTGTTTCTGCAGCATATCCAGAAGTGTGCGACAGCCAGATTGGTGATCAGTGCAAGGAGTCCTTACCCGCAGTCCCCACTAGTGAAGGGGACGCTTCAAAGCTGGAATGTGAATATGTACACAAAGTCTACAATGAAATTGCAGACCACTTCAGCAGTACTAGACACTCACCGTGGCCAAAGGTGAACGAGTTCCTGAAAGCATTGCCTGATGGAGCTTTGGTGGCTGACATTGGTTGTGGGAATGGCAAATACCTGGGGGTGAACAAGGATGCATTTATGGTAAATGTTGCCTTCAAGATGTATCTGGATCAATTTGCTCTTAAGGGTTACAGACAACCTTTCTATTTAGGTTTGCTGATCAATCAATAAACTCAGGTTTTGATGAGGCAGCTCCAATGGTTTGAAAAAGTTAAGCTTCGTCTGCTTATTAACTTTGCACCATTTCTGTTCTATACAATACTATAGCAACTGGATCAAGACATTTATCGAATTACTGAAATGGAATGAAGTGAAATCCTTAAAATGGCTCTCATTAGTTATGTGTCTCGGCACAATTGCATATGTGTCAATCTCGCTTGAATAATGGCAATGTCAGTTCGCAGGTTTGAGCCTCATACTGGGATTTGAGCTCATTATGTACATTGTAGTGTAGTGCATTGTTGAAGATACTATTAAATTAAGCCAAGGTTCTGTCAGCTTGTTTTGGTGGTTCAGGTGAATGCTAAAAGATCCCTGGTGTTATTTGAAAGAATGTCGAAGCCAAATTTCCCCTCATCCAAATTCATCAAACTAACAGATTATTTGATGATTGGCGCTGTGGGATGTTGCTGATGCAAATGACCAGCCTTGATTACTTACATGAGGAGTCACTCATGACCCTTCACTATGACATATTATGTTAAGACTTTTCAGACATTCTGAAATTAAAAGACATTCAAAATATAAATACAGTAATAATGATGGGTTTTCACAGGTGTCACATATCTGACTAAACCCCTGTTTATAGCTGAATTATGCAAGTGTACAGTTCAGTGTAATTATTTATTTGGAAATATAGCTGTTGAAACTAAGAATCTGTAGTACTGTAGCTGGCATTTCTGTAAATTGTATCATTCAAGTTAGTACAGTAGTTGCATTTCTAAATATGTGGACCTATTTTGGTATTTGAATGCGCTTAGCTGATTCAGCCTGCACTATTCAAGCAAAGTGTATGGACACCAATCAACTAACGTCTTGATGACTTGCGTATTTTTAGTGAAGCGATGCATGTCCTCAGTACTGTTAGCAGCATGAAAGATGAAGCTCATTTTGTTTGCAATGTCAAATAAATCATTTGCTCCCAGTAGATGTGCCTCAAGGCTATGCTGTATTGAGCATACATAATATACACACCACAGCTCAATAATGCTTTGAGTTCGTCAAACTTTCAAATGTATGTCATATAGGTCAGCACACTGCTGAGTATGAGCATGTAAACTAGTCCGGGCTCGTGTTTTATTATGCACATTCCCATTGAACTTCCAGCACCTGTGCCTTTGCTCTGGGACATCCTCTTCAAATCATTCCTTCTCATGTCCTCTCATTCTGTTTTTGAAACCCTTTCGAAAATCTTATCTCTTTGACTGTGCTTTTGGTCACCTCCTCCTATCCCCTCCTTCCCACCCTTTCTCACCATTCCACGTGAATAATATAAGTGCTATATAAGTGCAAGTGATTTGAACTTGAATTAGTTTATTTATTCCTTTAATTGATTTGGAAACCTCACGGGTTGCTCCATATGGCTAGCAGGATACGGCGGAAATTAGGTGTTCGTATAGGCAGGAAAAGGACATGTTCTTTTTCTGTTTGGCAGTTAAGCAGTGAATACTTGATGGACTGGACTATTCTGTTACATGTTTGATAATCCCAAAATAGATAAAGCTTGCATTGCTCTTCCTTCTCATGTTTGCTCACAGGGAGACAAGTGCATTCGGTGAGTGACTGGGCCCCCACCAAATGCTGAGTCCTGAAAATAGTTCTGGGGGAAGATTGAGAGAAGTTAAATTGTCAATCTGTATTAACTGGGAAGTGACACATATCCCATGGGAAAAATCTGTAATAATTTGGAAACTCCTACCCTTTAATGGCCAGTTACACTCACCTCCACGCTACCTCTGGCACTGAGTATTTTGACTTTCAAAATATCTGGTCTTCTCTTGTATAACTGCCACATGACTAATCATTATTAGTAGTAGTTATTAATATTTTGTATTGAAACAATGTGACTGAGTGAGTGAAGGGATTTAAGGTGAAAATTGGGCAGGTTAATGAGAAGGGGATTTAGTGTGATGGAGAGTGTGGTTGGTGGTTTGCAGCTTTGATAGCACATCAAAATTTATCTTTTCCTTGCCAATGAATTGTGATAAGGCGCTATATCAAAAGCAAGGATGAATGCGGACATGTTTTCCGAAATTAGGGAAGCATTTAACCTGTAACCCGAAAGTTTTCCTCCATTTAAAAATGTAATGTATTTGTACTTTGCTCTATTTCTTTAAATGGATTTGGAAATCTGCCTTACTGATGAACAGGTGAGAAAGCTCCCATTGCTCCAGGTGACAGTGTTTCAGGCTGACTCAGTTAGTAGCACTCTCACCTTTGAGTCAGAAGGTCACTCAATCCTCGACTGTTTGTGAGACACTGCTACTGCTCAATTGGCTGCCGCGTATCGCCCACAAAATATTCAGTCAATTCATTTTACAATATATTTTGTGACCCGCTTTGAGATGTCTCCAAGATGTAATAAGGTGCTATATAAAATGCAAGGATTATTATTATGTTATTTCTTTTAAATCAGTATTTTCATGAAATGTTCACGAGATCTTAAGCCATTGAAAAGCATTTTTTGTGCTATGAAATAGCTTACGATCTTAGTTTGTTCAATACAGTGTTCGCATCTTTCTGAGTGAAACTATAATCTGAATAAAAACAAATTCTTCTTCTCACGAGCCTAGTTGGTTGACTGGGTTGGAACTGAGCTGAGTGGCATTGAGTGGAGGCTTGCTAATGGGTAAAGTTGAAACAGTAAGGGTTTGTGTTTGTGTAATTCAAGCATTCGAACAAATGCATAATAATAATAATAATCCTTGCATTTGATATAGCGCTTTTCACGTCTTCTAGCCGTCCCAAAGCGCTTCACAGAATATACTGTAAAGTGAATTGACTGTATATTTGTGGGCGAACGCGGCAGCCAATTGCGCACAGCAATGTCCCACAAACAGTCGTAGATTGAAAATGATCAATTTATTATTTTGTTTTGGAGGGATTATTATTAGGCTCTGTGTGGAGTAAGGAAACTTGCCCAAGGTTTCGCCCTCTGCCTGGAATTGAACTCGGGTCTCTCACTTGCAAAGCGAGTGCTCTAACCACTGAGCTACAGGACTCCATACTCTGTGCCCAACACTTTTGTTGCTCTTCTTTTAACAGTTGGGGTGTGATCGCAGCAAAAACCTTGTTGATATTTGTGGAGAGAGAAAGTTTGAGGTCTTCGTCTGTGATGCCTTGTTTGTGCCCTTGCGTAGCGGTGTTTGCGATGCCTGCATTTCTATAGCAGTAATCCATCACTTTTCAACACAGGTAATGTGTTTTGATTTTTTTTTGCACACGAGTGAATCTGTGTAACCCTTATTGGAACACTGCAACACTTTCCTTACTTTGCTTTCCTCAACTTTGAATGATCAGTGAATATGTAATAAAGGATTAGATTAATTGTATTTATATAATTGATTAAAAAATTATAAGTTCGTCTGGAAAGGTTACATCACAAGGGATGTGGATGAGGAACATCTTTTGACTCATTTGATCTTATCTTTCCAGTACACTAACTTTACTGGCTTCCCATTAGAGCAACATGGTGTTTCTTAAATGGGTCCATTGTTCTGGTCTCAGTTACCTTTCCTGGTAATTTTCCAGCATGTGTGTGTTACTGTATTGAAAGCGTTCAGCAGCTGTATACTTTATTTTCTAGTTTAGGTTAGTCATTTGCACTGGAAACAAAATATATTACACCACTTAATACTGATTCTTGTCCAATATTTTCTTTCCTGCAGGATAGGAGACTGGCGGCCATCAAAGAGATTGCAAGACTTCTGCGTCCTGGAGGCAAAGCACTTCTCTATATTTGGGCTATGGAACAGGAATACCACAAAGTCAAGTCTAAATACCTGAAGGAAAGCAAAGTAACACCTGAGGAAACTCAAAGCCATGGCACCGAAATGCCAACTCCGACCAATTCCTCTCACAAATCTAAAGATTCCAATGAAATGGATGCAAGATGTTTTGAACCATCGACATGGGTTACAAAGGACCCAACAGTTAAACTAAACCATGCAAAGCTGTCTGTTCACAAAAATCGAACTGCCTTTGATTCTCAAGATCTGCTTGTTCCTTGGCATTTGAAAGATGGCTGTAAGAGAGACCAAAAAAATGACCGGCTCTCATGTCAGCCTCTTGCTGGGTCCAGAGCACTTCCAACTTTTCATCGCTACTATCATGTTTTCTCTGAGGGAGAATTGGAAAAGCTTTGCAAGAACCTATCCAGTATACGGATTGTACATAGTTATTACGATCAAGGGAACTGGTGTGTGATAATTGAGAAATGCTAAAATGTTGTAATTAGCTGTTATGTCTGCTTGCAACACGAGACCTTTGGTATTTTGTAAACCACATATTTGTAGTTTGTTCACATAGAAGCAAATTTTTTTTTATTGCATTTCTTGAGGCACATATGGCCTCCAAACCAGTGGCTCTTGTTAAATGGCATATCTACAATACTCTTCATTGCAGCTTTTTTTGTGGAATGTCTTAAGAGGATTTGGTACTTTTTAAAAATACTTTACATTTATTTTTCTCTTTTCTTGGTGGTCTTATGGCAACTCCTATTGGTTGAGAGTGTGGTCTGACAGCTTTATTCCAGGTTTATGCGAATGCTGCTCTGAAACTGGCCTCTGGGAATAAGTATTTCTTATCTCTCTTTCCCTGTGGGGAATTGCTGACTGACCCATGTTTAACTCCAGCTCACACAGTGTTATGACTTAAATCAGACTATGGTGCATGGAAGATCATGGATGTTAACCACCTGCTGTAGCACAATGGGTTGCTTCAACAGTGTACATTTAAAACACAGTCGTTTGATATTGGGCAAATGCCACCTCTCATAGCTTCACAATGTTTCTGTTAATAACGTGTAGTGACTCGGCAAACATAGTAACCAATGTGCGTTAAGCAATGTGCCACAAACAGCGTGACGGTCTGTGTAACGAAGTGAACCAGGCTGTTGTCTGAAGTATAATTTAGGTATCTCCTTATGAAAATATTAAAGCTAATCATTAAATGCTCAACTGTAGCCTAAAGGTTTTCACAAGTCTTTTCTCGTGAGTTTGTCTTTTGCAACTATCGCACTAGATGGCAGTCAAATCCTTCACTGGAAAATAGTTTAAACACTAACTACCAGCTATTTGAAGTGAACTAATCATTTTACAAACTTTACCAGCATTGCTATTATTAGCAAAATTATTACTAAATAATAAAATGTATTGCTGAATTATTAATTAACATTTTTTATAATTAGCATTATGTTAAGCATTTAGAATTGGGTTCTCATACAATAGAGAGTTGGGCTTTTTATTTATTTATTTGACCAATTAGTGACTATTGTCCTTGGGAATGGAGAGGGAGAGGTAAGTAGGGGTATCTTGGGTCTGATCTGACTCCTATAGAATTTCAGAATTGAGTCAATTCTCTGTTGCGATGTTGATTGTGCATTTAGCTGTGTGAAACACTTTGAGGCATCCTCCCTGTGTGAAACGGATGGTGACGGAGACGAAGGAAAGCAGACCCCCCATCCACACCAATGGTTCGCCCACAAATATACAGTCAATTCACTTTACAGTGTGTTCTGTGAAGCGCTTTGGGACGTCCTCCCGACGTGAAAAGCGCTATATCAAATGCAAGGATTATTATTATTATTATGGTGGCTTTCACATTATGCTCACCCCCTATTATCTGTCTTCAAGTCCCACCTCTTCTGCCACACCTCTTCTCCCTCATCCCTGCACCCCCCACTTTCTCCTCCCTCCTCCACCCTCTCCCCCACTTTCTCCTCTCTCCCCCCATTCTGTGGATATCTGACCCATCTCTGTAAAGTACTCTATTTTTCCATTTGAAGGGCACTATATACATTGTAAATAAATGCAAGTTGGTGCTGTTCTCTTCTTACAAAAGCCTTGACTATTAATTATATCCTTCCATTTGATTTCGCGCTTTCCCCGTCTTGCAGACGTTCCAAAGCGCTTCACAGAATACACTGTAAAGTGGATTGACTGTATATTTGTGGGTGAAACGCGGCAGCCAATTGCGCACAGCAATGTCCCACAAACAGTCGTGGATTGGAGTGACCAATTTATTATTGTTTTGTTTTTTTGGAGGGATTATTTTTAATTTATTATTGTTTTTTTTGAGCCATTATTATCAGGCAATGTGGAGGAAGGAAATTTGTCGGCGGTTTCACTCTGACCTGCCGGGAATCGAAACATCAATTAAATTTTTTAAAAAAAAATGAAATCAGCAATGATGGGATCTGCAGCTCTGTGTGTGTCTGACACACAGGTATCCAGTCCGCGCAGGCGCACTCTCTCACTGGCCTGCCCAGTCCGCGCAGGCGCACTCTCTCACACTGGCCTCCCCAGTCCGCGCAAGCGCACTCTCTCACTGGCCTCCGCAGTCTGCGCAGGCGCACTCTCTCACTGGTCTCCCCAGTCCGCGCAGGCGCACTCTCTCACTGGCCTCCCGAGTCCGCGCAAGCGCACTCCCTCCCTCTCGCTCTCTCGCTTGACAGGTCCGCTCCGTTTTGCTTTACGACACTCGGCTCGGGGCGGGTCGCAAAGCGTTGTCAGGTGAATCCCACTGACGGCCGCGCCAATGGCGGCCTACGGAGGCAGTTTCGAGAGTGAGAGAACGATCAAGGAAAGGAGGGAAGTGAAACAGAGAGCGCGGGAGGAGGCCGTGACCGAGGTACAGTCCAGGCTGTGGCGAACGCGGCAGCCAATTGCGCACAGCAATGTCCCACAAACAGTGGTAGATTGAAAATGACCAATTTATTATTGTTTTTGGTTTTGGAGGGATTATTATTAGGCTCTGTGTGGAGTAAGGAAACTTGCCCAAGGTTTCTCCCTCTGCCTGGAATTGAACTCAGGTCTCTCACTTGCAAAGCGAGTGCTCTAACCACTGAGCTACAGGACCCCACCCACTGAGCTACAGGACCCCACCCACTGAGCTACAGGACCCCACCTTGATAAGATGTTATAAACATTCAAGTTCCTTATACCGCTGGGGTTTAGGTGTTGGATTTCGGCCCAGAGACAACAGCAACTTATATTTATATAACGCCTTGGAGCACCGTGGAGACAACCAGATGAACCTGGTTTCAGCAAAAGTTGGATTTGCAGTGTGCAATCTAAACACAAATCAAATTGAGTTCCGTTCAATGTTCACTTGAAATCCTGATGGATAATGTAACAAACTGCTCACAAAAATTTCAAGGGCTGTTTTTAATATTCTTGAAGAATTTGTTACACAGTTTGCTCTTAGTACTTTTTAAAGACATGGGGATTTAGTGGGCAAATGCAGCAGCCAGTTTTGTGTGCAGCAATGCCACATAATGCATTTTATAACTTCTTTTTTTACTCTTCCTGACTTATCCTGGAGTGTAGTTCTGCAGGTGCCAGCTATCCTTTCAGAGTCTCATCCAAATAATAATAATAATAATAATAATCCTTGCATTTGATATAGCGCTTTTCACGTCGGGAGGACGTCCCAAAGCGCTTCACAGAACACACTGTAAAGTGAATTGACTGTATATTTGTGGGCGAACGCGGCAGCCAATTGCGCACAGCAATGTCCCACAGTCGTAGATTGAAAATGACCAATTTATTATTAATTTTGGTTTTGGAGGGATTATTATTAGGCTCTGTGTGGAGTAAGGAAACTTGCCCAAGGTTTCGCCCTGACCTGCCGGGGATTGAACTCAGGTCTCTCACTTGCAAAGCGAGTGCTCTAACCACTGAGCTACAGGACTCGTAATCGGGTTCCTACTCACTGCTAGGTAAACAGAGGCATGTGGAGTAAGGAAACTTGCCTGAGATTTCGCCCTGCCCAGGAATGGAATAAGTGCACTAACCGCTATGCTACAGGATTCCATGGTTCAAGTAAGAATGGTTCAAGAGATCACATAGTCTGAGCATGTGTGCAGCCCCAACCATTCCTGGGTTTGGTCAAACCTGCAGTCAGAATATGGGCAGCACAAAAAACACAGATGAGACATGTGGACATCATCAGAGAGAGAGGGAGGAGAGAGTTGAGAGAGAAAGGGAGTGAGAGAGAGAGAGAGAGATAATGTAACTCTTTGTATTACCTGTTCAGTGTGTCAACAACAACAACAACAAAATTACATTTGTAGAGCACCTTTCACATCGGGAGGACGTTCCAAAGCGCTGGACAGACAGCTGAGGGTCGGGGTGGGGGAGGGCAGGGGCGGAAGCAGGGAGATCGAAAGCACGATCGAAGAGGAGGGTCTTGAGGTGGGTATTGAAGGTGGCGAGGGAGGGGGCGAGATGGAGGGAATGTGGGGTGGAGTTCCAGAGGGTGGGTGCAGAGTGGCGGAAGGCCCGCCCGCCGATAGTGGGGCGAGCAAGGCAGGGGACGTAAAGCAGACCGGAACCCGCTGAGCAGAGGGAGTGAACAGGATGGTAGGGGGTTGGGAGGTCGGAGAGGTAGGGGGACCAAGACCGTGGAGAGCTTTGAAGATGAGGACTAGGATCTTGAATTGTATCCTCTTGTGTGATGGGAAGCCGGTGGAGTTGGGCAAGGATGGTGGTGATAGGGTCACGGAGTTTGGTGCGGGAGCGGACACAGGCTGCAGAGTTCTGGATGATCTGCAGCCTGTGGAGGGAGGAGTTGGGGAGGCTGACAAGCAGTGAGTTTCCATCGTCGAGCCTCGAAGTAATGAAGGCGTGTTTGAGGGTTTTGGCGGCTTGCAGTGTGAGACAGTGTCGGAGCCGGGCAATGTTGTGGAGGTGGGGGAAGGCAGAACGGGTCATGGAGCGAATGTGTGATAGAAAGGATAGTTGAGGGTCGAACAAGACCCTAAGGTTTCAGACTGGCTTAGCAAGGTGGAGTGTGCAGCCATGGATGGTGATGCTGTCAGCGTCTGAGGTGTGGAGGCGCTGACGGGAGCTAATCAGGAGATCTTTGGTCTTGTTCACATTCAACTGAAGAAAGTTAGCTCTCATCCAGGACTTGATGTCTGACAGACATTCTGTCAGCACAGCAGTGGTCCTGGAGTCAAGGGTGGAGGCAGAGAGATAGAGTTGGGTGTCATCCGCATTCATGTGGAAGGTGACCCCATGTCTGCGGATGATGTCACCAAGGGGGAGCATATAGATATTGAAGAGGAGAGGGCCAAGGACAGAGCCCTGAGGAACGCTGCACGAAACGATCCGGGGGCTAGAGGAGAAGCCATTGGAGGAGATGAAGTGGAGGGGGTGTAAGAGGTACGATCTTAACCAATCAAGGACGGCGCCATTGAGGTGAGAGGAGAGGCGGTGGATGAGGATAGAGTGGTCGATGGTGTGGAAAGCAGCAGAGAGGTCAAGGAGGATGAGGAGGCAGAGGGAGCCCTGGTCGCAGATGGACAGAATGTCATTTTTCACTTTGACCACAACCTTTTCAACTGGAGAATTTCACAGCTGAATTCAAACTTTCTTCACCTGATGTCCAGATGCATAGACTTTGCAGGGGTAGGGAAGATGAAGAGGGGCAATGTTTTGTGATCATGTAGGAATACTCATTTTCTTTTAAAGTAAAGGGTTGTCCTCAGGGCGCCTCTAACTCCCAAAGACTTTCATCAAGTAATCAGAGTATGTACGTACCTCAGTGGACACTTCCTTTTCTGGTTTAAAGTAATCAGTGTTCACGCAAATATGAAATTGTCTGGGACAAAGTGCAATTTTTTTTCTGTCGTTGGGAGCGCGTGTTGTAATGGTGTTGGAGTGGATGCTGGACTGAGTTTATTATGCATAACAAATGCTTTCAGTAGAAGAGTAGAAAATGCTCAGATTTCCAAGAACTGTTTATTGAATTGTCTGTGACATTGAAAGGCTTTCTCAGTGCGTGTTATTGTTAGTTCAGTCTTTATTGAACACGTTTGAAAATTAAGTTTGAAAGAAGACAGGTGGAATATTGGCTAAAGTGTCAGTTTAATGTAGTTATTTAAATAGCTTCATTGCATATGCTTAGTTTTCAGATTATGAAGGAAACATAATGCCCTGTAAAGCATTTGCTTTTGTTGTGAATATTATCTAAATCAAGATCGAATTTAACCTCTTTAACATTTTTGTGCTTGATCAAGTGCTGTGGGATCTTCCACGTCCACCTGAACAGGCAGACGGGACCTCAGTTTAACATCTCAAGGACGACACCTCTGACAATGCGACACCCCCCACCCCCCCACCGCATACTGGACAGGAGTGTCAGCGTATGTGATTCCAAGTCCCAACATGGGACTTGAACCCACAACCTTCTGACTCAGAGGCGAGAGTGCTACACTGCACCAGGCTCAAAAAAGAGACAAAGTTTGACTGAACCAATATATTTATATTGTTGCTGTATGGAACTCTCAGTGGTGTAGTTTGAATATTCTTAAAAATGTTGATGGTTTCCAACATATGTCAAACATCAATCATGCCATTGATATAAAAACACACAAGAGAATAGTTGTGTTCCATGCATTAATATTCCAGGTCTGTTCAGAGTTACATCCAAATAAGGTATTCATGAAGGGCCATAATCGAAACGCCAGTAGAACAAACTTTATGGGCTGAAGATCCTGTACCTGTTAAATAATAACATTTAAGTCTGATACTCAATAAGAGAAATGACAGTGTTTTGGGAAAATGTAAAAAAATCTTTTGCTTAAGCAGAAAACAAAAATCACACTTTGAATTTGTTCAAGTTAAAAAGAGAAGCTGTTTTGTGAGAATACAATTGTGTGTTGTTGCTTGTATTTCTTTGGCCTTATTGACTAGCATGTCGTGTGAAGAGAATAACCAGCGATCCTGGTGCAGTTGCTCAGCCTGTGAGGAGAATCCTGTGTGGGAAAGCAATAAGGTGATTTCAGTCTGAAAGCTTTTGTTTGCTTAAGCAGAAAACAAAAAGCGCATTTTGAATTTGTTCAAGTTAAAATAAGATGCTGAGTGAGAATACAATAGTGCATTGTTGCTTGTATTTCTTTGGTGGTGTATGTCTATGAGGCTGGAGCCAGAAATTAGACTTTTAATGTGCTTTGAAAAATGATTTGAAAGGTAATGCTACTGTGGGTGGAGGGAGAGGGGGAGATCTCACTAAAAATTATAAATTGTGGGATCTTTGTCCTCCTCAACAGGCAGATGGTTTAATATCTCATCCGAAAGACGGAATGCCATGCTGTGATAAATTACTAGCTATAATTGTGGATTTCCATAGACTAGATATTTGTATTCAGATACAAGTGACTATTAAGTGTGATCTGCTGTTGGAGCCAGTAGAGGGAAACCTGGCACTTGCATTGGACTTAGTTGGCTATAACCTCTTGAGAAATGTGCAGAAGTACCCCAGTGATTACTCTGGAGTGTGGAATTTAACCAGAGCCCTCACTTAAAAAGCCATCCTACTAGAAACATAAAATCATAGCCAAATACTATGGGGAAAAAAATTTCAATCTACTAAAATACCAGGCAACGACATACTATATATACACATAACTGATTGAATGAAAAAGAGAAATATCCGTTAAAGTACACAGTACAATTGACATTGTGTCATTCATGTCACAGTTGTAGGAACATAGGAATTAGGAGCAGGAGTAGGCCATTCGGCCCCTCGAGCCTGCCCCGACATTCAATAAGATCATGGCTGATCTTCTAACATAACTCTATCTGCCCGCCTTATCCCCATATTTCTTAATCCCTCTATCCTTT